AACGAGGACAGTTTTTCCAAAAAATGAATCTGAGGTTAAGTGGCTTTCGTCCACTGATGTCGCACCTTCGAATCGATTAGAAACGTGTGAATACTTACACTATGACTATACGTTTCACTGCAACTGCCCACAACACAACATCTAAAAACTCTCTCTGTCAAAAAAAAAAGAAAATAGACAAAAAAAGAAAGAAAAAAAAACGCTGACTAAAAAATGTATATCGTTAAAAAGTATACTGAATGACCAGTGTTATTACGGCTCAGGGGTATGACTTCCTCTCACATTTTGGCATTTGATGGCGCACTTTCGGCGAGAGTCGGAAATCCGGAAACAGTTGACCGTTTCAGGATAGATGGGCGTGGCTACAACACGAGAAATATCCCAAATTTACTTGGATACGAGTAATCATTTTCAGCAAAAAAATCAATAACTGTCCATTTCAGTGGGATACAGATCTAAAATGGGAAACGTGAGGGTGGGCATTGCACAGGCACTTTAATAGACGTCTGACAGATGCCAGATCAATGGAACAGTTCAATAACTGCATGTATTGAATTATTCGATGAACTTAATAAAATGACAGAAATTTTGAGTAGAATAAAAACAAATGGTAATTTATTGATAAATTGAAAAGTTCTAACCTTTGACTCCAATTTCAAGAAAACAAAGACTCACATTGTACAGTCCAGACATGATCTAATTCCCAGTCTGCTGATCAGTTTATAACAATAGACAGGATATCTGCAAATTCAGTATGTTTTCAGTATGTCTGTTTTGAGAGAAAAAACTCAAAAAAAGCCTATTTTCAAGAGAAACACACATACCAGTACCCTTCACCAATTTGAGGAGAAAAAAACATTTTCACACAATTCACACACAGAGCTAACTAAAAATATAAAACATGTAAGTAGCCAAATAACATCTTCATTGTGAAATACAGGAAATATAAGTGCCCTTGAACCTGGGTCTCTTCCTTAAATTATCACCCTGTCTGAGCTCCCTTAAAATTTAATTGTTTTCAGTTCATATAAGGCATAATGTCCAGCCACTCTTGAATCCGTGTGAGTGATGTACATCTTTCTTTTTACCATAAATTGTTTTACAGGAGGTATATCAAGCATCTCGGGGAGTGATAGCAGTGATGAAACGGATGACGACCTTTCACCTACCTCCAAACCACATGCAGCACATACATGGTTGCCATCTCGTGCCAAATCTTCACTGGTCGGCAGTGGTACTTCAGAAAGTGAAACCGATGATGACGCCAAGCCGAGGCGAGCGGGACGAAGATATCCTAAAGTTTACTTCAAAAATGAAGATGGTCAGATCATTTCAGTTTATAGGTGCCTTCTACATGGAAAGAAGGTAACGAGTCTATTAAATTAGCTTATTTACATAATTAATTGGTTTTGTGTGTTTTGCCATATTGGTCTGTGCTGTATTTATTGAGCCATTTATGTGCATTTTGGCTACAGCAGTGAGACATTCGTCCGCAAAAGTTATACAAGTTTTTGTTTCTACTTCAAGGATATCCCAGTAAGCCACTATGAGTTTGTCTATAGAGCTAATAATCTGGTACACCAACAACAATGGTGTATATTGATGGTGGCTGGCGGCCATTTTGCTGGGGCATTGTTCAATGGGTGAGTAAAAGAACAATATCTTTTACGCATACTGTATGCGTCACATGGACCCATATATAAAGACAACACGGTGTAACACCTTGTCAGCCACAGCATCAACCAAGCTCTGGCCTCATGATGACATCGTGATTTAACAACTTTGTGGCACATCTTAGGATACACCAGGGCAGATGTCACAATCAAATTAGGGATGCAAAATTTGAAAAAACTTGTGGCTTCTACTTTTTTTTTTTGTAGCTCTGTAGCCACTCAAAATAACAGACGGAGCTGTTGATGTAGGTGATTAGATTTGAACATTTCATGAAGATATTTTGAATACTCTGATACTTGAATATTCCTGGTGAAAAATGCTATTTGACTTCTTCCTGATAGCTGCTGGTTTGATTGAATTGATACTTGGTTTATATGTACATTTTTCTTGGCTGGACTTCTATTAGATTTGTTCATTTCATGACATGAGGAGAACTAATTCACAGACATATCATATCCTATAGCTGGGGGTCAATGAATCCAAAACGTTGATACTATTAAACTTATCCTCATCAGTGATAAGATCACAGGATCGAGCGTTAGGTTGCTTGTTTACCAATTTTACGGCAAGAGTCGTGGAAAAATTACCAGTTGTAATTACTTTCAATATTTGTCCTCTGCAGGGATAGTGTAGTGATGCACAAGACATTCCATCGCTACACAGTCAGAGCCAAACGTGGTACATCACAAGGTGCAAGAGATTCACAGTCTGGAGCCTTTGCAAGGTAAATACATGCATTGCACCATGGGTAAATATATGCTTTGACCTATGCATTGTACCATGGGTAAATATATGCTTTGTTCTGTACATTGCACCATGGGTAAATACATACTTTGACATGTGCATTGCACCATGGTTAATGATCAAGAAAAAAACAGCTCATAAATGTCATAAAATTATAATTTTCTCTGAATTGTCGCAACACTTTTGAAACTGAAAATATCGCATTCTGATTGGTTAATACAATAACTTGACATCATATGACATCATTGTGTGTTTGCAACCATCGATATTGTATTGTGCTAAAACTAAATTAATTTTTAACTTTTTGAAACAAACCTATAAAATTATTTTTAGTTCCGCTGTCGACTTTGTCGAGCGGAGCTTATCATATGAGTGATTGTCTGTCATCATCTGTCGTCCGGCGTCCGTGTCAATGTTTTACTTTTTCGACTTCTTCTTGAAAACTACAAGCCTAAATGCTTTGATACTTGGTGTATATGTACCTTGGGTAGACCTCTCTCAGATTTGTTCATTTCATGATC